AGCTATTTCAGAAACGGGCAACTTCGCATAGCTGAATTGTTTTTTCAGAAAAGCTTGAACGCCGATCAAAAATTCAACTTGTTCAAAGTCTTTCTGAAAAAACAGCCGTCGAATTGAAAAAATTAATCAGTTTATTTGTAAACGACAATCGCCGGAAAAAAAATTACTCATCAATGGCTTGCCCGGTTTGTTTTCGAATTTGATGCAAAACATTGAAAAACTTCTGAAATTTTCATATATTTTTGAATACATTACTTACATTTTTATATAAAAGCGTCTCACAGCTTAGCATTACTTTTGAAGTGCATCATTGTTTTTCAAAAATATTATTTCGTCTTAGCTACAGACAGCGATAAGGTACTGTTGATATCGCGGTTGATACTCAAATCTGCACAAAAAGACACAGCTTTTTTTAAACTTGATATCCAAAATTGAGACGATGGTATTTAAATATTCAAGTAATATGTTTAAAAAATTATGAAAACTAACAAGCTTAGAAGCCATTTAATACTTTACATCAAATGAGGAAGTAATCGCATAAGTCATGAACGAGACAATTTTTTTTCGAGGACTACTGTTTACAAATATAATAATTAATTTTTAAATTCTACCATCATTGCTTGAGGAAGAACTTTGATCTATAAAATTGTTTTTTGACACAGTCTGTCGATCATTATTCATTATAGTATATGTCTAAAATCAGCGTCGAAAAGAATACGCTCTTTTTCCTTATTTTATCCTCGTTATTATGGCTAATGTTTTAAATAATATTTTTTCAATTTTGCAGAAACCGTTCGATGCGCAAAATGACTAGGGTTTATGCACGTCTCGATTTTTTTTGACAAAGCAATGTACTTGAAAATTCAGACGACTAACTTTCTCAAACCGATAGTAGCTATGCTTTTCTCTAAATTTAATGTTTTAGTATCAATCATTATTTCACAACATATTCTGTAGCAATATCGCAACATAACGTCATTCTACATCACTTAATTTTAATTATTACTCTGTGTATCAAAATACGCCGATGATCATTTAATATATTTATAAGGACTGAAATATGATTCGATAGAGAAACTATTGAATCAATAACTTTTATAAAGACATAATTGAAAAGTTATAAATAAATTTATTTAAAAATATATTTCTTTCGTGCAGTGAAAATATAAATATGCGAAAAAAAATATTTTTATTAAGAAAAAGATGATTTTGTTGCAAGTACAAAAATAAAAAAAACATATTATAGGTTGTAGGTGCGACCTGCTGCGTGGGTACAAGAGCAAAAATGGATTGAATTTATGATAAGATCGTAAATCATGCACTATATGGTTTTTAGCACTTTTAAAAAAGATTGTAAAAGGACATTGCCATATTGCCAGGTGTTTCGAATACAGAAATAGAAATGATGATCAAAATATTGAAATGCAGTTTTTAATTTAAAAAAAATGAAGTTATTCCCGTTAAAATATGAACTATATTATCTAACTAAATTACTTTTTGTTTAGTACAATTATGACACTTCTTTTTTTCTTTCACTTCATTTCACGTCAATAATTTTATCGGTCACGATAAATTTCCGTACTTAAACTAGTAAAACAATGTTTAACAACAATCTTTTATTGTTTTGGAAAGTAGAGCAGTGTAGACTTGAGCAGCGAGTAAAAAATATCTAGGAAAGTTCTTTTTTTCCACAAAAAATGTTGCTTGAACATAAACAGAATTCGAAAACTAAAGAGCAAATGTGGACAAAATTCATTTGACCATCATAGATTTACGAGTGCAATAAACTATATATACAATGAGAGTTAGAAAAACTGCACTCCAGCTGTAACTTTTTGCAAGCGCAAGATGAATTACACCTTCGCAATATATATCAATAGATAGCAATTGAAACCGCATTAAATAATCAGTGATCAAAAATGATTCTCAGAAATTACAGACATGCATTTTTTACTTAAATGAGAAAGGCAACAAGAACGCCAGCAGGCTCGGGCGATGCGCACAAAACCACAACGCATTTTCCATGCCGGCTAAGGTACCTTTTTTGCTCGGCAAAACTTTATGCATAAACTATCACAATGGGGAAACTCCCGAAGCAAAAAAGCGCCCCTACCCGAGCATCTCCGCCGTTATAAGTCTGCAGAATCATATCGCAAATACGATCGCAGGCGACTGGAGTAAAAAAAAACACTAGCCGCTTAGCTTGGGATCGTTGGCCAACAGCGGCAACCGCAGAGAGAGAGAGAGAGAGAGAGAGAGAGAGAGAGAGAGAGAGAGAGAGAGAGAGAGAGAGAGAGAGAGAGAGAGAGAGAGAGAGAGAGAAGCAAGAAGCCGCGACTCTCATTCTCGATTATGGCATTTTACCGGTCGCCCGGCTCTGCTCTTGCGCGCGCGCGCGCGAGCACAATTTACCAAGAGCCGTCCGGATTCCATCGTAAGTAACCCTTCGAGCGCAGGCATGACCAAAGCGGGGATGTTGCGGTTGCTTTACCGTCGGCCAATAGTTTTCGTACTCAAGCACCTTTTCTGCTCTTATTATATCTGCCAGACTTCAACCACTGGTCTTGCGAGGGCAAAAGTCTAGCTTACTTTGTTTGAACTCACGCACGGACGTCGGTCCGACGTGTCACTGAAACGTCACTGACTCGCAAGCTAACAATACGAAACGCGCGGTGATCAGCTTCGGCATCTACAATTTCGGAATTATATCGCGTAATGCGCGAGCGTATGCAGCAAAAGTGAGAGAGCGCGCAAAACAATTTATTGAGCAGACTGCTTGCTAAACTGATATTGCTTACAGCTACATAAAACGCAATTGAAAATTCGAAAAATACCTTGGCACATTTCCCCTCTAAATTCTGCATGAACTTCCTCTTTCAAAATAATACCAACTTCCTCTACGGTTCGTGTACGAGCTGCTCGCTCGCGCGCGTAAATGCAGATACGCGCGTTCACGTTACACTCCTCCATATAGATATCTACAACAACTGAAAGAAACTTGAGAAAGAAAGAACAGGATGATAACTTTCTAGACGATTTTCGTACATTTTGTGTTTTATTACAATTCCAAAGATATTTTACGCCGTAGAAAGTAAGAGTTGTTTGTTTTTAATTTCCCCTTTTATTTTATTTCAGTATATGAGTTCGTAGCCGAACAATCTGACTTTTCACTGTGAGTTACCGTTATGAATGTAAATGACGTGCACTTAGCATCCACTCACAATGTATCCTTTTATCCGCGAATTTCATGCACGAACCACTCAACAATGAATAAAAAGGAAATACTATTATGGAATGATAATTATTTGTTCCTATAAATGAAACCATGAAAATATCGACGGTGCAGATTATCTTGAATGAATTTAATATTCATTAAACAAACTAAAATCATTGCACTGAAAGATGCATAAATTATGTGCATATTTTCCTATATTTCCATGTACGTTTTCAGGCAATTGATTTGTTAACTATTGTTTAATAAGTTTTAAATAAGTTGTATACGTATGCTGGAATAGAGAAATGCTTATCCCAACTATTCTTAAAGTTATAAAAGATTAAAAGTACGTAGTATACTGACAGAGTTGAAACAATGAAATAATTTGAGAGGATCCATAACATATATGGAGGGCACTTAGTTGATTGCAACTATATATATACAGGGAGCAGTGCAATGATGCACTGGCTCACGTTCACTTTTATGGGCGCAGAAAACCGGCTGCAGATACCAAAGAAGAAAGCGATTCGTCATTGAAATAGCATATAGCCTTGTGCTGGGAAAATACAATCTGGGAATTAGGGCGCAATTTTAACTGTACCCAGAAAATTACTATGGAGGTAGCAAGTGTTGCTCTACATTGTTTGTTGGGGAAAAGGCGGCTCTCGACAATAGCTGTAATTTATTATACAATGTTATATTAATCCTTATTTTAGTGAGCATTCAATTTCGTTGCCGACAGTGCGAATATGGAAATCGAGAGAAATTGAGAAAAGTTACTTATTTTAACTTTCGCTTATGAAGTGGCCGTTTTTTTTTGTGACATCGACGATCAAGAAAACTGGAATACATAAATATCATGAATATGTGTAGAGAACATATTCTATTTAAAATATGATAGGTAATATATTTGAGCATGTTGAAAAGTTTTTGGAATCTCAGATATTGACAATTATAATCGGTATGATATCAAATATTAAATACGTCAAAATCGATTTTCAATTCCATGCAAATTTTGAATTGAAATAACCAAAAATCTTAGTAATAGCATTTATATGTAAAAATAGGTTCAAGAAAGTCAATTCCATGTTAAGAAAACTTAAAATTGAGAAGTTTTAGATATTTTAAAAATAATTAAACTTAGTAATTAGCTTTAATTATTATTATTAAATTTAATAATTAGCTTACAATTTCTATAAATGTAGCTTCACACGAATTTGTAGTACAAAAATATATGTTTTGATTTATCAATGTGTTTCTATGTTTCTACTTTCATATTACCAAGACTGATTAATGAATATGCTTTAATTGATTACCCACCCTGACAATATACAATATAACTAACAATATTTAAAATATTAATAAATTAATAAAGAAAAAATAAGTTGTTTGTAATTTCTTAAAAAAATACAATTACTGTTTCATTAAAAAATTTAAACAATAACGACTGCACTGTACAAATATTAAGTATGAAAAAAAACATACAAAAATGAAAACCAAATTTTACATTACGATGTAAACTAAATTACGATATACACTTTAACCAAAGACATAGTCATCCTAACCTATCTATCCAACCAACCTGTATAAAGTTTATCCAACGTTCATTCTTTGACGCTAGCTGGTTTTTCGAGTGTTACGCATGTAAATGGCCATGGAAAGTCAATGTCAATATCTCGAACGGCGTGTAATAAGGACCGGCACTGGTCTAGCAGAAGACGGCATAGGAAACGCCACAGTCACTGCGTTGGAGGAAGCGAGATAGAGGACGCTGGGCTAAAACCTGCCCCATAGTAAAAGCAGATGTCGCCTCACTACTTAGCCGTGGGTAGGCAAGTTGCAGGCGCTTTCCGCGTGCGTACATACATACACCGTGATAAACGAACATTCAGCCGGCTCTAGCTATTGTGCAAAATATAAACAGAACGTCCGAGCGAGCAAGCCTTCTGTGAAACTTTTTACAAAAACGGGGAGAGTCTACTAGAATGCCACGAGATTCACCTTGGTAAGCACACGCGGATTGACATTGTCTAACAGAAAATACTAGGTCGCAGGAGCTGTAACTATGGGGGAAACACTGGAACACTAAGCAGGAAATTGGCAACGCGTTGTGTTCAAGGTACGTACAAATATTAAAGGATAAATGTATGAACAACAGCGTCAACTCGCTTGTAGTAGAAAAGGATGAAAGATGCGCGCACGCGCACGACTTGCACACACAACATCCGCAATCCACGGAAGGACTGTCGGATCATCTGTTTCTACAAGGCGCCGCAGCACTCCAAGTCAGCCGCGCGTGCTCGCTCTCGCTCTCTCTCGCTCTCTCTCTCTCTCTCTCTCTCTCTCTCTCTCTCTCTCTCTCTCTTCGCTCAGATCCTGCTCTGCCTCTCAGGCTCACTTTTCGTCGCTATAAGTGTACGCGTGTGGCTCAGCGCCCCCACCCGCCTGTACAAAAGGTGAAAGGAATATAGCATGGGCAGAGAGATCTGAGCAAGGGGATTGGGTGTGTATTAAAAACAGAATAGTAGGAGAGATACAGAGCTCTGGCACTTTAAATCGAGCCACGCTTCTATTCATTGCCCATCATCTATTTATTCTCCGGAACATTCTCTCAATTTCATAACTTCAAATGTTAAATTACCCTGATATCTGACTGAAAATTGAAAAACTTAATGTTCATTTTTTAACATAAGATTTTTTCTAAAAAATCGAAAAGTACTATTGTCTTGAATTGCTGTTACATGTTATTAAAAATTCAAAAAGCAAAATATAACTTGGTATATGGGAAAGATTACTTATGTTTATGGTTGTGGTTTTTCGAAGTATATTCTAAATTTTAGGACCTTTCCTGACATCGCCATTTTGCTATATATTTAAGCTTTTATTTATACTTTTACTTAAACAATTACACATCTCGTAAGAGCATGTAAATACCTTACATCGGAGGAGCATTTTTACCGTTTCATATAATAACTGAATATTAATTTTAATCTCAAAATTTTACAGTTTTAATGGAAAAATACAAAATTCAGTCCATTTTTCAAAGTCTAAAATCTGGAATAAAAAAATGTGTTTACTTACTGAAAAATTCAAGGACGTTAAATATAAATTGTAAGAATTTCAAGTTTCTGTATTAAAAAATTTATTATCTTCTTCCGATATTGTTATACAAGCGACATAGACAACTGTCCTATAAAACAGGTATTTTGAACTCCCGGCGCAATTCTTTTATCAAAACATTTTTCTTACATGTATGTATGTATGTATTTATTAATTTCAGCTTACATAGCCCAGAAATAGACTTGGTTGAGTTATACATTTTTCTTATTCCTATAAATATTTATATAAATAATTAGATATTTTATCGCTACATTTTCACATTTATAAATTTATTTTATTACATTTTTCGATAATTTTTGCTTAATACTAGTACAACAAAATTTTATTAGTTATTGTAATCTGTCTATTGGATATTTTAAATCATCTCTTATGTTTTATCTTTTATGATACATATTTTTACCTATTTTTACATATTTTTACATATTTTTATCTATTTTAATATTTTTTTTCTGTTTTATATATTTTTGCATATTTTTACATATTCTTACATATTTTTACATATATTTACATCTATTTACATCTTTTTACATATTTTTTACACGTTCCTACATATTTCTACATATTTTCTTCATATTTCACATATATTTCCCGTATATTACATAGATATTTATACATTTTTAAATATTTTACATGTCATTTCTACATATTTTGCCTTTGTTGCAAACAGGCATTACATTATCCTAACATTTGTGCGATTTTTTATTCGTTTTCTAAATTTATACCTCGTTTATACCTGCATTCTTTTTCCAACTTTCTAATCCATTTTACTACCACATCGCTATTTTTTCCTTCCCAGATTTTTTCCATATCTTTAAATTCAATTTTTCGTGTATCTATTTCCCAATTTTTTGTTACCTCGCAATTTTCGACTAGGTGTTTTAATGTGCTTTTTTCTTTTCCACACAGGTCACATATTTTTTTCTCTTCGGTCTCCCAGTACTTATTAGCATTTTCTAAATTTCCACATCTTAGTCTTGCAATGTCTTTGTAGTTTCTGTATCCTTTAGTCAAGTATTCTGGTTTGCCACTAATCATTATCTCTTTATACCATTTCATTGTATCTCGACCTATATATTTTATTAGTTATGGATTGCCCTTGTATATTTATCTCTCTCTTTAGAATCTCTTCTTGTACTTCTTCTTGACTTGTCATGCTTTCTATTGCTATTGTACTTAATCCTATGCTATTTAAATAATTTTCTTTTTCTTTCATATATTCGTCTTCTAGTCCGCTTTCTCTTTTTTCGTTCCAGCACATTTTTATTAGTCTGTTTTCCTCTTTTTTTCTTATTCTTGTTTCAAATTTCAGTGCCCTAATGGCAAACCTTCCCTTCATTTTTTCACTATTGCTTTCTCTGTAGATCAAATATCTCGCCGTGCAAAAATCTAAGCCTAATGTCCATCTCCAATATTTCAACAGTATTTCTTCTAATTCTTTTCTCTCTTCCCATCCCCAAATTTCCACCCCATATTCCATTACGCTTCTTACTAAATAATTAAATAACAGCGTTCTCCTATTAATGTCATTTTTGAATGCTCTTTCTCCTAATCCCCATACTTCTTTAACTGCTGCCATACCCTTCTTTTTTAGTTCTTTTATGTGATCTCTGTAGTTTCCTTCTGAGTTGAATATAAAACCTAGGTACTTGAATTTCTTAACCTCTTCCATGTCACTTCCTTCATATTTCCAGCTTTCTTTTTTTTCATTTGTCTTTTTGTTAAAGACTAAAATTTTGCTTTTCTCTGTACTTAATATCAAGTCTCTTATTTTCAAAACCCTTTTAAGCGTGTCTATCATATCCAAAAGTGCTTCCCTATTCAAGGCTAATAATACTAAATCATCAGCATAATCTAGACTCCAGATCCTAATATTACCTATTTTTATTCCCCCTATGTTTCTTTTTCTAAATTCATTTTCAAGTTCACTTATGTATAGACAAAATAATATTGGGCTCAACACACAACCTTGTCTCAGCCCGAGACCTATCCAAAGGTCTTCGGTAAAGCCTTTATCAGTTCTAATTCTAGCTTTGGTTTCTTCGTACATTCCCTTCAGCCTTTCGATCAGATATTGACTAATTCCTATTTTTTCTAAAATTTCCCATAGCTTTTTCCTATTAATCGTATCGAAAGCCTTCTTTAGATCTATGAATAAGGCGTATAACTTTTGTTTTTTCTTTTTCGATCTCCTAATTAGATGGTCTAATACAAATATGTTGTCTAAGGTCGATCTTCCTTTCCTGAATCCGGCTTGACATTCTGGTAATAATTTTTTTCCTTCTACTTCCTCAACAAGTCTTTTCCTAATTACTTCTGCGTATAATTTATACGCTGTCGGTAACAAGGTTAATCCTCTGTAGTTATTGGTATCATTGGCATCACCGTTCTTATATATGGTAACTATAACTCCCGTTTTCCAATCTTCCGGTATCTCTTCCCCGTCCCAGATCTTTTCGATTATCGCTACTAATTTGTTTATTATTTCATCACTCCCGTGTATCCATACCTCGTGTGGTATATCGTCCCATCCCGGTGCCTTTTTTTTCTTTAAGTTTTTCCATGCCAGTTTTATTTCTGTAGCCGTGATTCTTTCCCTTTCAGTAATTTCAGATTCTAAAATTCGCTTTTCACCTAAAATTCTATTATTAGACCCTTTTAAAAGCTTTTCAAAATGATGTTTCCATTGTTCTAATGTAATTTCGTTTTTACCCATACCCTTTCTATTCTTCTTCCTAAATTTACCTATGTATTCCCATACTTGACCTTCTCTTTTCAAGTTTTTCAGTTCGTTTAATTGCTCATCCTTCCATTCAAGTTCTCTTTCCTTGCATTTTAATTTCCAGAGTTTCCTTGCCTCTAGATAATTTTCTTTTTCTACTTTACCTAATTTCCATTTTCCATATTCTCTTTTTGCTTTGTTTTTTAGTTTTGAACAGTCTTTATTCCACCACGTTTTATAACCTAGTTTTCTTTTTTTTATAATCTTTTTTTCTACCTTTGTCCATGATTTTTCAATAATTTCTTTAGTATCTTTCCATCTAGTTTCAACACTATCCTCCTTTTTTTCTTCTATTTGATTGCACAGCTCCCTTGATTTAGTTTTAAAATATGCAATTGTCTCGTCGTTCCAAATAATAACTTTTTTTGTTGCTTCAAGTTCTCTTTCTGTTTTTTGGCTTTTTTCTAATATATTTTCTCCTTTTATTTCTAAAATTAGTGGTAAGTGGTCTGATTCTACACGTTCTTGGATTTCAAAATTTATATCCTTTTCCCATATTTCATCATTGACTAATATATAATCAATTACAGTGCATCCCCTTGTGCCTATAAATGTGAATTCTCCTTCTCTGTCGCCTTCTGTATTTCCATTTAAAATTTTCCATCCCTTGTTTTCACTAAGGTCAATCAATTTTTCCCAGTTATTACTACACTTTTTATCCTTGCTTTTTCGGTGTACGTATTCCCCCCCTCTATCAAAGTCTAAGTATTTTCCCTCTTCACCTATCCTTATATTAAAATCTCCTCCTATAACTACTTTTTCTCTTTCTTTGTGTTCGTATTTGTCAAGTTTACCTAGAATTTTTTCAGTGTTTTGCGAGTTATAAACTGACCATATTACGTATTTGTCTTTTTTACCTATAATCTCTGTTTTTACTAGCCCTTCTTCTACTTCTTCAATTTTTATGCATTCTTTTTTTGTCCAGTTTTTCTTTATTCCTATAATGAAACCTCCAGCGGCCCTTCCTTTTTTATGTTTTTTTCTCGCATCTATTATTTCCCATTCAAAGTTTTCCGGGAGTATCGATTTTACCTTTTCTGCATTTTTATTTTCAATCCAAGTTTCCGTCAGGCTCACAAAATCATTTTCATCTATGTACCTCCAGAAATCCATGTCTTTACTAAATATCCCTGCCACGTTCCAAAACATTAACTTTTTCCTATTTTTCTGTATTTCTTGTTTTTCATTTTGGCGTACTGTCTTTTTTCCTCTATTTATAGTCTCTTTTGTCCTAAGTTTCTCTAGCTTTTTCATCGTGCTATTTGGTTTGTCGTTTGTTTTGTTTTTCTTCTCTGCAAAATATGATTTGCTTTTTACTATATACTCATCCCTACTTATTTTATCTACGAACCATTTCCGGGCTGTTCGAAATTTTCCCTGTTTTCACAGCTATCTTGCTCTTCTATCTCTTGATCGTTTTCTTTCCTAACTTTTTCTAATCTATTCATCTCTTTTTTTAATTCTTCGTATTCTATTTTTCTAATTTTTTCTTTCTCATTCCATTTTATCCATTGTCCCTCTACATTGATTCTACCTATTCCAATTCTAACATTGAGACCCTTACCTTTTTTTTCATATACCCATTTTTTTATTTCTTCTTGCTTCTTCCTTTCCTCATACGTCAGATCGTTTTCTATATATATAGTGGTGCCCTTTAATTTACTTTTATTCTTCATAATATTTTTTTTTACATTTTCATTTTCCAATTTAACTATAATCACTCTTTCTTTCCCACCGCTCACCCTTGCATTGACAGCTTTCACTGAGGTTCCCAGCTTGAAGCTTAAAAATTTTTCCACCCACCCTTTATAGTCGCCTTTTGATTCAGTGTTCTCGTTTTTTTCTATCGCTTCTATATGTTGATTAACACCCTTTATAACAATATTGCATGCTCTTTCTAATTTATCCTTGTCATACATCATTTTTTTCATTTTCAACACTTTCCTATTAGTAAAACGTTCCGAGTTGTTACTTACCCAGCTAGTTGCCCCACTGGTAGCGCTCACGCCGCTCGCCAAACTTCGTCTGCTCATGTGGCTTCTTCCGCTTTTCACACTCCACGTCGAACCTTTGTCCTCGTCTGTGCTGCCATCAGTCGGGTCGCCTTCGTACTGCGATTCTTCCATCTCCGTCTCCCTTGCTGTTTCCACCGCCAGCGCCGCGTCTAATCTATCCTTAACCTCTAATATAAGTTCTTCCAGATTTCCCATTTTCGCTTCCATTTCCTTTGATTTGTCAATCAGCTCTTTAATATTCTCTTCTTGTTCCTTACATTTCTTTTTCCATTCACTTTTCTCCTCTTCCGTTTTTTTACTTTCTGCCTTCAGTTTTTCCCTTAATTTCCTATTTTCTTCTTTCACTCCTTCCAAATCATAATACAATTTATCCAAATCCGGTTCTTTGAACGTCACTTTCTTCGTACTTCTCAATTTGCCGTCAAGCGTTTGTTGGCCTCCGCTTAGCGATGTCTTCGAAGCGCCTTTTCCTCCCATAGCTTTCCTATCCACGGGCAATCTAACCTCCAAGAATCTCTCCACACCAAAATCGTTTATTTTGCACTTTTTCCCAGGTTTTCACCCAAACTTTATTAACTACGTCGTTCCTCGCTCCTTCACGCTTCTTTAGCTCACTATTAAATTATTTTCTAAAAAGAATTACTAGCTCAAATTCGTACCGATGTTCAGAGTCGCTCAAGGCACGTGCGCACGCTCTCGCGTCATCCAGCCAAGTCCCAACATTTTTCTTACATATAAAAATGAAATGTAAAAATGATGATACATTAATTTTTTTTTTAATTAATGGTTTCTACGGATGCTGAGCTTGAAGTATCTATTATCAGTTCGAAATTTTATGCACGTGATCGTTGTTAAAAAATGTAATACCAAAAAGTCGGAAAAAATGTCCCACTTTCTCATCGGTATGTATTAATTTAATAATACCGTAGTTGAATAACGGTTGGAATTTTATTTCAAGAGAATCAAATCAATGACTCCTTATATTTTTTCTATTTAACCTCAAACAAAGCTTTAAATCTGTTTTACGGATTCAAGATTAATAATCAAAACAATGAACATATGTGTGTTTGCTTTTAAAAGTAAAAACTATCAGAGACATTACAATTTTACATCTGACGAATAAAATTATGGATCTACGCAATGTTGATATAACTTTTTTATGTAAATATATGTTACAGTTCAGTTTCTCAGTTGAATTCTGAAAAGCACTTGTTTGAATAAAAGCACAATCTCGGTTTTTTTCACATGATTGCATCAAAATTAAATTCAGGTTTTGTTTATAGCGACATAAATTGAAGCGTATACTTTTCTAAATAACTAGAATTACAGTGCGCATAAGCAAGAAATTGAATGTGCATTTCACCGCACATGCATAAACGGTAACTGCGTTTAGCCGAAGGATACTCTTACCATCAATGTTAATATTAACATAAAGTAAAAATATAATGTATTTTTTCAACTAACTTTATGTTTTTAGAGAAAAAAACAAAATTATTCTTTTTTTCCTTTGTAAAATTTCTAAATTGAAAATTAATTCTAACTCACGGCAGTTTTCACCAAAAATAATTTGCATTTTAATATTTTTCATATCTTACAATCCGATCGATAAATCAAAAATTCAATACGAAATTTTTGTTTTAAATGATCGTATCAACAGAAATAATAATTTAAATAATATTTAAAATCGCATAATCATTAAGTTTGATTTTGAATAAAATCAAGCATAATTATACAGATTATGCTTGACCATCTAGAAAGTGTGAGATCTCTTAAATTGTTCTTTATCTTACAAGCAATTTCAAGTACTGGTTTGATTAAATCTAACGGAAATAAGTTTTTATATTCAATCATATACCGACAGATGATTAAGCCGATGTTAAAATGTTATTTCTTACAGCTACATTACGAATCAAACATTCCCGCTACGATCAAATGATTTTTGAATTTTTCATCTGAAAGATAAGGACTGATTACATAAATGTACATTTAAGTTTTTCAATATATTTCATAGTAATACTGTATTTGATAAGAAAATACTTGTAGGCATAGAAGTCACTTAATTAATTAAGGAAAACAATAAAAGTTTATGACACTAAACTTTTATTACCCAGTAACCTGCTTATGAGAAAATGTTAATCAACCTGTTACTGTTTAGCTGTACGTTGGAAACATGGGAAACACGTGCCTAAAGGGAATGCGACATTCTTAAATCAATGGAAATGAAAGTGTTTTGCTAAAAATAAAAATTGGAGCTTTGATTGATCACTAATAAATGGACTAAAAAGTGACTGAAAAAATTATTGAAATAGAAGTTGTACTGTTCCTAAATCGTTATCAATCTCTATAGGCTTTTAAAATATTACTTTTTTTAAACTTGTTTATCATATTTTTTTCATTTTCTTCAAAATTTATCTCAATGAATCATGATTTGTCTATCGTTATGGTGGGCCCATGAGTGAATGTATCTTATTAAAAATATTTGCACAAACTGTAATCGCAATAAAACGACAGCTCTAAACTTAAGTTTAAGTCAGCCCCTGTCGACTTCTAAGATAATCCGTACTAAAACAGCAAACAATCAAATTTAGGAAAGCATTTCAATCAAACTAAAAGGCGCAACAGTTGCTAATTTCATCGCATCTGTCGCATAAGCACGGTGGCCTGCAATTAACAGTGCGTAACAGATGACAAGCACCGGGTGCGCTTGAGAGCCAGGCGAGTCTAGCGAAAAGCATAGCGCCAAAGAGAGACAGTAGGTTACGCTAGCGCAGTAGCTGGAGGCAGAAAGTTAGACGGGCTCTAATCGAGTCAGCTAATCCTCGAGCTGCCGCTGCTGCTGCAGGCACCGCTCATCGAAACTATAGCGGTACAGGTCAGAAGCCGTGCTTTAATTAGGCCCTCGTAAATGGGCTTGAGGACGCCCACGTGCACGCACAAGCGAAGTGGACGGCGCGGCGCTCGCTGTTCTCCCGACGCTGAAATGTAACTTGACGTCTCGTGGCTCGGCTAGCCATTAGTTTGTCTAATTCGATTCGAGACGAATGAAAGGCCCGGGAGCGAGCTTAGCTCGGGCTAGTCACGCGAGAAAAATACCTAGTTAGTCGAGCATCTGGGCCTCCGACTGGGTAAAAACCTTTGGTATTCGATTTACTCAGCGCTCTCTCAATCTTTTTTTAGATTTATCGTAGTTTGGCTTTTCTTATTTATGCTTTTTATCGTTTCATCGGTTTACTCGACTAGAAAGATATCACGATTACAACGATAATGTTCCTTTCGTATTTCAAAAATTATTGTCGAAAACTAATTCAGTTAACATTTTATTGTCATTTTATAAATCAGTAAATAGAGTATCCAAGAATCATTTATTAGTCATGAAAATGATTTTTATGTGTATTTTAGATATTTGAATAATAATTATTAAATAACTATTTAATACTATACTATACAAATTATTTGTTCTAGGATGTAATAAATTCAATTATAGAATATCGTTGTCTTTGAAGCTGTTGCATTACTATGTTTAACCTTTAAATAACAGTTGGAATCCACTTTGATGTCGAGATGCACGATTAGATTACGATTGACTTCTAATCAGATTTCTAATTTTTTTTTTCAAAATAGTAAGTATTAATTATTATAAAAATAATATTTAAGAGAAATTTCTAACGCGCATCCGAAACTACATAGTGTTTAATGCTAATGAATTAGAATTTTATACTACATATGTAATGTACGAGTGACTATAAAAAGTGTTCGATATTAGATGTCCAAATCTTAAGGAGAATCATTATGTGAATTTTATCAAATTTAAAATCTATTATTAGTGAGAAGCAGTGACAATCTCCAAATATAAGTGAAAAACCAATGTATTGTTCAATACATTGGTTCACTTTGTATAGACAAGAATTAATGATATGGTCCACATATCATTACCGTAACCGTTGAAAAATGCTTTATGTTTTGCATTTTTCAATTCTGTACGTTGTTTATTTTTGATTAAATAATGAATTTGAGTAATTAAATAATGGTATTATAATGCGTGTTCATGCATTAACAATTATACTCTGATCTTTTGATCTCTTTCAATTCCTTATAATTTAAGAGTGTTCACACTTGAAAATATTATTATTGGAACTTGGATACTCTGATATCTAACATATTTGACGAAATGTGGACACAATTTAACGATGTTAATAAGATCTACACCCAAATGTTATTACCGTAATAGTTCATCTTTAAAAATTTAATATAATAATAATCATACTTTCAACAGTAGACTGTATTAGATCAATTCTTAGTTACTGATATATTTAATTATTTTTTAGATATTGTCATGTCACTAAATAGAAAATAATATTTTTAAGTCATTTTTCTCAAGTGTTTTTAAATAAAACTTGTTCTTTGATGAAATAACTTTAAAATGTAATTTATATAAAAAAAATATTAGTTAAATTTAATAAAAAATTATTCAATGCATGTTTAATCATTTTAAATTATCTACATGTACCACCGACTGATGTAACTTTTCTGTTTTTATGAGTAATGATCATTCAGGCTAATTGATCAACCTTTTAAATGGATTATTCAAGAATTAATGCATATTTATATAGCAAGAGTTATCATCATTTTGAATATTTCAAAGCTTTATCATGATAGTTGATATCATTATCGTGGTGTATAAGAGAAGATACATTTAAAAAAATGATAATACCTTAGTTATACTTGTTCTCAACATAGTGTTATTTAGCACGCTCTTTCTTTTCTATTTCTGTTATTTATTACATTATTTGAACCTTTTACATGCTAAATTGGAGATTCTAATGGGCATGAACAAATCATGGTGTTAAAATATACTATATCTATCGATATTCATTGGTGAATAAAAATAGACTTTGCACTCATTTTCACAAAAACCGATAAACTTTTACTCATTTTCAAGATGTATCGGAAAAATTACTCAAAAGTTTAATTAAACCTCCGATTAATAAAATGTACTAAGATATACTATTTTATAGTACTAAGCCTTACATACTCAGTAGTAATAGCTACAGCTCCAGTTTTATATTAGTATGAGTAATACATTTAAGATTATGTGCTTTTTATTGCCTCGTTGAAGTCACCCCCGAACATTCTTCAAATTTAAGGGATTTAATATTCTAATGATTAGTTTCCGTTACTTACATACCTCTTCATTTATAGTATACAAAAAATAAAAATTCCTCTATTTAATTCTAATCACTTTTTCTCTCTTTCTACCAATTTTAAGACGACAATATTACTTTGAGTATCACAGATGGTTATAAAATTGTCAATTTGTACTGATAATATCAAAACATAACGTCTATGTTCTGAAAATGATTTATTAACGGCATATTTCCATTCTTTCATCTTATTATCCATGTTAATTACTCATAAAGAATTGACTGCTGAAATGTAATCTCACACTCCTAGATGTATAATACAAATATTTCAAAGTATATAAAAATTCAATGTTTGCATGTCACAGATGCTGTTGTTCATTAAATTATATTATTGATTCATATATATTACTTACATATATAATAAAATTGGAATCGAAACTTGAGTGCAAAATATCATAATTATAAGTACATTGATTTATTTTCAGCAATATCATAGAGCATAATATAATAGCTTTCTTAACAATCCGTATGCAAAGACGTGACTTTGCACACGTTCGGAAAACCAAATGTACTTAAAATTTCGCTTTTAACGTTTTGCATACGTCGCATCGAAAAATAAAATTTTTCTGCGTTTTTCGTGTGAGAAGGTGATTTTATCCTCGTTTGGCCTTTTCACCCTCGCTTCGCTCAGGCGCAAACTTCCACACGAGGATCAAATAACTTTGTCGCACTAGCGTCGAAATTTACTATGTCGCAGCTGTACTCACTTTGATGTGGGGGGTCTTACACCATCTTCAAACATACAATAGTCACAAAAATAATATTAACAATCATATTTGCTTATCTCTGAAATTCCTATAAAACTCTACAGAAGGTATTAATTCAACTGATATCATAGAATTTATTGCTACATAATTAAGGAATAGCAAAAATGTCACAATCAACAGCTATTAATTATTCTGCGTCTGGCTCATTTCCTCAGTCATAAAAATGTCTTTCCCGAATAATCCTTAGGAAATGTCATTTGTCAAGTGTTTATTCCTGCAATTGCTCTGCGTTGTTTGGTTTGTAACAAATGAAGCTCTTTCTAATCCTGCCTCATAACCGTATATATATAACCGTTTCAGTTTTCGTTATACTTCTTGGTAAACTGATAAAGCTATGCTTTCAATTTCATTATGGAGATAAAACGTTTTGTAATTGAGATAGGTATGCACTCGATTTCCTGCTTGCGTTTTAGCTTGTTCTTTGAATTGTTAAGTTGTTCAAGTGAGTATTTGTTTCATTATATTTTTAATGAAGATTGCTGTGATACTACAAAATAAAAAAATACAATGTTTATAAAATATTTCTTTCAATAAATCAAGCGGATATAAAGAGGTATTATTTTGAATTTATAAATTTGTTACTGGAAAATTTTGATCAGTAACATATAATTCCAAGTTTGAGTTATAAATTTAAACTATATGTAAAATTTTGTTACTTGCCATAAGATTTGCAGTTATTCGGAAAAAGTATGAATAAGTTTTAATCAAATTCCAAGTCTTTTACTTACATATGTACATACAATTTTGTAAAATATTTTAATATAGACACCTTGATTTTAGTAATGATAGAATATATAATTGACGAATTTTTTTTTTTTTTTTTTTTTTTTTTTTCAAATCATTTGTACTTGAATTATCCGTGAGAATATCCATTGCAATAGTCAAGTGTCTCTTATCAAATTTTTTAACAATTAGGCAAATACCACGGAAATTTCACGATAGTATATCTAGCCAAAATGTGACACCCGCTCAATTCAAGAAATCAATATTGTTACGAGCACGAAGCGTAGCTTATGTTGTGAGAGAGAGAGAGAGAGAGCGAGAGACAAAGAGAGAGAAATGGAAAGGGAAAGCAAGAGAAAGAGAAAAGATAAGTCGTTGGGCGAGCGAGCGAACGAGAGAGAATGAGCATGCGGGGAAACCAGCCAAAGCCAAGTGGCGTGAGTCTGTATAACTATATCTGGTAGGTCGCTGTTCACCGAGACCTTGAACGGAAACACGTGGCTCTGGCGTCGGCCGCAGTCTCAGCCAGTCGTTGGCTGCTCGATGGAAGAAAGGTTCTTTATTAGTTGCACAGCTTATCGCCAACGATCGGCGTGCTACTGCATTTCGCTTGCGAACGTTGAATTGTTACTCATACGTCGGGCCTCGTCGAGCGCTTATCGTCTCTTATCACGGATAGTTTGTCGTACAATTTTTCGACGCTTTACCTACTTCAATTATTTCGATATATATTGTGCGCGTTCACAAAAAGTTGGCGTTGCATCTCTTGCTTGGTGTGAATTATGAACATTTATTTTAGAACCGTTTCTGCATCGAGGTGCCCCATGTTTTGTGCTCTGCAATTACAGACTTTAACGATATAGTAAGAGGGATTGCATTTTTGGTGGTGTCGAGGACAACTAACAAACCATGGAAAAGAACGATAAGAAGGCAGTTAAAAACCCAAGACAGGCTGCCAATCCATTGTCAGTCCTTACGTTTAGGTATGTTTAAATCTTTATTTATTACTTGTTCAAAGTGTTCAAAGTGTGCGTTTTGATAAGCAGAGGATGCAACTGCATAAAGACATTTTATCGCTGGTTTTCTTGGTCTTGTAATATTCATGTAAAAAAAAGCATTCATATTAAGATTTGATGCGCGTGTCAACACTTTATTAATTTTTATACGTCCATTTTATTATTTGAAATTTTAATGTCTTAATAATTTTTTACGATTAATCGTTCGATCAATCACACTTAATCTTCTCGATATTTATTTATTTCTCTATCAATTATAATCTATATTGTTATATTGACAAAAATTCTCAGAAAATAAAGTGTATAAATGTGTCTTTATGTAAAATTTGGTTGATCATCGCAAATATTATAGTAGTCATGTAATTTATCATGACTATTGTTAAATTTAACCAATTTAAAGTAGTGATAATAGTTTTAAAAATTTTCTATATTTCAAATATAGCGATTAAGTATCATTCTCTATAAACTTGTATTTGTGCGTATTTAGGTGGCTACTCGGAACATATCTTACGGGTTTCAAGCGTGAATTGGAGGTTGAGGATCTGTACTCACCTTTGGATGAACATTCGAGTCGTCTTCTGGGTAATAAGATGTCTCGATTGTGGAATCAAGAGTTGGAGATATGTAAAAAATCAAAGAAAAAATCTACCCCAAGCTTACTCAAAGTATTAGTGCGATGCTTTGGCTGTGATATCTTAGTGTTCGGCTTTTTCCTAGGATTCCTCGAATTTGTCGTAAAGTAGATGTAAATTCTTTTTTCTAATTATACATCTTACGTGGCAAAATTATTAACTACTATGGATACTATTTTTTCAGAACTACTCAGCCTATAATTTTAGCTAATTTATTAAAGTACTTCAAAGCAAACGACACATCGAATTCTACGCTGCAAAACGAGCCAGTGATGGAACGCGAGGAGGCTTTTTATTGGGGCACTGGAATTATTCTCGGAGTTTTATTAGATTGCATTATAGGCCATCCAGCCTCCCAAGGCTTGATGCATATGGGTATGAAAATCCGAGTGGCAACTTGTTCGCTTATTTACAGAAAGACTTTGCGGGTATCAAAGAGCGCATTTGAAGGCGAAACCAGTATTGGACAGGTAAGTCTTGTTTTTGAAAGAAACAAATTTTTTTGTGTTTGTATATTGATAATTATAATCGTTAAGATGGTGAATTTGTTGAGCAATGACGTCAACCGATTGGATTACTCAGTTTTTTCAATACATTACATCTGGATCGCACCTATTCAAACAGCTCTCGTTTCGTATCTGTTGTACCAAGAAGTGAGTTTGTCTGCTGTTGGGGGAATACTCTTCCTATTAATTTTTATACCTATTCACGGTAAATTTTTACGACTCTTACATGATTGGAAAATCGTCAATGAAGCATGTTAATTTTATTGATCTTTTGACTCATATCAGGATGTTACGGAAAACTAGTTTCGTATCTCACTTTGAAATTTGCCTACAAAACAGATGAACGGCTAAGACTGACTAATGAAATCATCAGTGGCGTAAAAGTTATCAAAATGTACGCGTGGGAAAAACCGTTCTCTTATCTCATCGACAAAGCCAGAGAGTAAATAAAGTGTAGCACCTGTTCATACTCTATATGGATAAATTTAAATTAAACGTATCTTTATGTCTTTTTCAGAAAAGAAGTCAAAATTATACGAAACAATTTGATGGCAACTGAAATTAATTGGTCGTTTGAAAGTTATGTGCCGCGAGTTTGCTTGTTCATAACGATTCTGGTTTACGTTTTATTAGGCAATGACATCAATGCAGAAAAAGTTTATCTCGTTACGGCTTATTACAACGTATTGCGAACGACACTCTACCGTTCATTTGCACTGAGTAAGAGAATTTATTTCAATCGATGCGACGCGCTATTTCTTTAGATAATTTTTGTTTACTCCGAGCTTTCTCGTGTATTCATAAATTGCAGGTATCAAAGAAATCGCTGAGGCTCTAGTGTCTGTACGTCGTCTGCAAAAATTCTTGCTATTTGAGGAAATCGATTATAAATCATTAGCTAATGGCACTGTCAACTTCAACATCAAGAATGATGTTGCGTTATCGTTCAAGAATATAACAGCCAAGTGGAACCCAGAATCAAAGTTCGAAGCTCTGAAAAATATAACTTTGAACGTCAGGTCAAAAACCTTAACCGCAGTTGTAGGACAAGTAGGCTCCGGCAAAACGACTCTATTGCACGCTATACTCAAAGAGATTCCAATAACGCAAGGCGACTTGAAAGTCAATGGAAAAATTTCATATGCTAGCCAAGAATCATGGTTGTTTGCGTCATCCATCAAACAAAATATATTGTTTGGCAAAACAATGGATAATGAACGCTATGAAAAAGTTGTCGAAGTGTGTCAATTAAAGCGTGACTTTCAATTACTACCGTACGGGGATAACACTTTAGTCGGTGAGAAGGGAATCAATCTGAGTGGCGGTCAATGCGCTCGCGTCAATCTAGCTCGTGCCGTTTACTATGACGCAGACATTTATCTTCTAGATGACCCACTTTCAGCTGTGGATATACACGTGGGCAAAGGCATCTTCGATGAGTGTATTAAAACATTCTTAAAAAATAAAACAGTAATACTGGTTACCCATCAACTCCACTTTCTGAAAAATGTCGATCGAATTATTATTTTGAGTGGTGGTGCTGTTCAAGCGGAGGGGGCATATTCGCAGTTGATCAATTCTGGACTTGATTTAGCTAAGATGATGAAGCTCGAGAATGAGTCTGAGGAAATAAACAATGACAATGAGAATCCCATTAAAGAGGGTACCACGATTGTCGAGGCAGAAACTGTAAATCATGAGGAAGACGAACAAATTGAATCTAGAACGCTTGGAAATATATCAGCGAAAACCTATTTGCAGTACTTTAGAGCAGCGCGAAGTGGTTTTCTGGTGTTTATAGTCTTTTTCATTAGTTTAATGTGCCAAGCTACATCTTCTGGAGCTGATTATTTCATTACTTACTGGGTTAATATAGAGGAGCATGGCAAAAATTTCACGTATAATGAAGACGATATTCTGAGAGGTCGCAGTTGGTACATGTACACATACGGTACAATTACCATAGCAACAATGTTCGTAACTCTTGCGCAAGCCTACACTTTCTTTAACATGTGTATGAAAATCTCCAGAAACCTTCATGCAATGATGTTTAACAGTATAATTCGTACGACAATGGCTTTCTTCAATGCCAACCCGATAGGACGTATTATGAACAGGTAAGATATTATGATGTAGCTATTTTTGCACAAGTTGAAGTTATGGGTAAAAGCAAATTACTTTGTACATTCTATTCTAGGTTTTCTAAGGACATGGGTATAGTTGACACAAGAGTTCCTCAAACAGTAATTGACGTTATGCAAATAAGTATGTTCACTTTCGCTGTTATTGGTATCGTAGCAAGTGTTAATCTGTACTTCATTGTGGCGGCTGTCATTGTTGGTATAATTGCGTACTTCTTGAGAATATTTTACATAAGAACTAGTCGTAGTATCAAGAGATTAGAAGGAATAAGTAAGATTTTATTTGCACATATTTTACCCAAGAAATTTTTCAAGTGTTAACGGTAATAAATTATTTCAGCCCGATCACCAGTTTTCAATCATTTGAGTGCGAGTGTACACGGTATAACCACGATTAGAGCTTTAAAGGCCCAAGACATACTGACCAAAGAATTCGACGAACATCAAGATTTACACTCTTCAGCTTGGTTTATATTTTTTTCTGGTTCTAGAGCTTTCGGAATGTACGTCGAAGTTTTATGCGCAATTTTTACCGGCGTAGTAGTATATGCTCTGTTATCTATCAAAAATGTTGCCATGGCAGGAGATGCAGGACTTGTTATTACACAGTGTATTCTGCTGGCAGGAATGCTTCAATGGGGCGTGAGGCAAACAGCAGAATTGGAAAACCACATGACTTCCGTTGAGAGGATATTAGAATATTCAAAATTACCCGCTGAACCAAAATTAGAAAGAACGTTGGAACATAAAATTGCAGATAATTGGCCCACAAATGGCAAAGTCATATTCAAAAACGTGACTTTGATTTACGACCGTCAAGAAAAACCTGCGCTCAAAAACTTAGATTTCACAGTCAAGCCAAAGGAAATGATTGGCATTGTAGGAAGAACTGGAGCAGGGAAATCTTCCTTGATCAATGCACTTTTCCGTTTGACCGATATCGAAGGCGAAATTTATATCGATGACGTACCAACAAGTGAAATAGCCCTTCAACATTTAAGATCTAAAATTAGTATTATACCACAAGAACCAGTTCTCTTTGCTGGAACTCTACGCCGTAATTTAGATCCTTTCGAAGAATATACCGATAATGATTTATGGTGTGCCTTACAAGATGTTGAACTGAAAGAACTTTTGAATTCTGATTTGGGACTGAATATGAGGGTGATGGAAGGTGGTAGTAATTTTAGTGTTGGACAAAGACAATTATTATGCTTAGCTCGCGCTATTGTAAGGAATAATAAAATACTTGTACTTGACGAAGCCACTGCCAATGTTGATCCTAGTACTGATGAACTCATTCAAAAAGCCGTCCGTAGAAAATTTGAAACATGCACCGTACTTATTATTGCCCATCGACTGAATACCGTCATGGATAGCAATAAAATTCTTGTGATGGATGCTGGTCAAGCTGTGGTATGTGATATACCAAACTTTGAAGCTATCATAAATTTTATCCTCGAATCTATTTCATATGACATATGAATGAAAAATTATATCCATTTTCAGGAATTTGATCATCCTTATGTGTTGCTTCAAAAGGAAGACGGCATTTTTCATAGTATGGTACAGCAAACAGGTTCATGTATGGCTGCAAATCTGTTGGAAATTGCTAAAAAGGTATGTTGAAGTTAATATTATCACTGTATAAGTTTGAAAATTCATTTGATTTTCTTATTTCAACGAATATTATTTGTTTAATTTCAGAGTTATGAAGCTAATCAAGGTAGTGATAATACGGAAAACTAAAGAGTCGTCAATTATTCCATTAAGATTTAAGTTTTCTACATGTACTATATTATTATGTATACTGTGTATACAAATGCACCGTAGTATTTGATAGACTTGAAGCGCATAAAATACAACGAATGAAGACTCACTACTACTATTTGTACACAAATCAAAGACTGTACGTATTAATCGTTGCTTATAATATGAGATAATTTTGATAGGAAAGTTAAATGAAAGTCGTTTACCTAATAATTCAATAAAGATGATCCAAACAGGACAAGTCATCGAATCATATTAGTTTTGTATGATCATTATACATAAATAGTAATGTAATATTGTGAGAACTAACTCATACATTGTATAGAAAGATGTGATGAAATATATCCTTGAACAATGTATTTCTTTTAAATTTATTTATTCATTATTATGGACTTTTACGTTGATAGCTGATTTTTAAATTCTACTTTTTAGCATTAAAAAAATTTTTTTTAATCGATATTTTTCCTTCTTTTATTATTCTTATTGAATACTTAATCATTAAAGAAAAGTAGAATTTTTCGGTATAGTAAATATTTGATTTCCTTCTGTTTCTTTTTACGTAATTTTCCAAACCTAACTTATTTTAATTAAAATTTAAGTTTGAACTTGCATCTCACGTGTCACTATATATGCATACAGATACCAGTATGTGAATATTTAATTCTATCACTAGAAGTTAAGATTTAAACTGTTAGTAAATAGAATTAAAAATTTGTGTTCGAATAAATAACATTTTACTGCGCTAGCCGCTAATTCATTTAACGTCGGAATAAGTGTGGATGTTACCTTAACGTTACTCATCGTTGTGAATGACGCCGCAGTCCATTCTATGTCCGTTTTTGTATAATTTCAATGCTTATTTATCTCTTGCTTTATCCACACTATTCATCACTTCGTACTTCGAATAATCGAATTCTTATTTATGTTAAATACTTTGCGATGCAACAGCTAATTTATAGTTGAATGTTGCATGGTAAACGATTTGCCACATACGCACTATGTTTTTTATTATTTTCCTTAAATAATCAACTACAAATCGCGCGTGCGCGTCGATCGCGGACATCGATCAGCTGTTGTTTGTACACGTGAGCTTGCAAAATTGCTTGATTTTACTTATTGTTCACTGCAGTTTTCTTCAGAAATATTTTGAACTATACATTCAAAATTATTTTGTACTATTTACTACTTTTGTAATTAATACAGTTTTAATAGTAATATTTACTGTTATTATTAATAATAAACAATATAACTAAAAGCTGAATCAAAATCATCTAATCCCCATATAAATTGCTTCAAGGTACTATGAATTTTTTATTCTTATGTGAACTTTATTATCGTCGAGCTTTAGCAGTTCAATATTTTACAGAAAAATTTGTTTTTTACAAAATGACGTTTTGCGTAATCATTTTCAAACGGAACATTGATTTACACATTTACCAAATAACCATGCAAACAATTTTATGGTATATATACTCCTAAGTCATAAAATGTTGATATGTTTTCAGCAGTTATTTATCCACGTCATGTTTCTAGATAACGCTCATTATGTTATTGCTCGATAACATATGCTTTTTACAGTAGCCCGATCCACCACATTCAAACAATTCAGATATGAAATTATCAAGTAAACTATCAGCAAACACAATAAAAGAAAGAGAAATAGACAGAAATATAAGCTTCATCTATTAATTTCTTCATTAAGAAGTCCTAAAGCGATACAATTATTAAACGCATGAACGTTGCTCCTCAGCTGCAACGTGTGAAGTAGGAATGTTTACAGAAGATACCGTTTTTATTGTACGTGATTATCGCTGTTATGATAATGCGAGAGAAGGCGCGAGCGCGAACGATACGAACAATAAAGAAGAGAAAAATTATAATGACTCAACGTTAAACAACAGCAGCAAATGTGTTAGCCAAGTTTTTGTTCGTAAATACTATTAGCTTGAACATTTGTGTATTTTTCTATTATTTAGCACGTTGTTTTTCCCTTACTTTAATCACGTTTATAAATCATCGCTTAATTTTGAAGACCATATATATAGAGATTTTTTTAAGATGAGTAGCGTTTGTCCATCACTTAGTCATTTTTTCAAGATAACCTAAGCCAACTGTATATCCTGCATCATTGGATCATAGTTCTATCTAAATATCATTAGAGTTAAAAATAGAAATATAAAAAATAGTTCGATTGGTCAGGATATGAGAAATTTTTCTAATATCGATTGAGGTTAAGTGTCTGGGTTATTTATCCATCTTTACTTTTATATGCGCATAATTACAACCAAATCAAACAATTAAAGCTAAATACTGTATAGTATAAATATTGGTGTAAAAAAATTAAAAATACAACGTTCAACAGAAGACGAAAAATAGATTATATCGTGTCAAACACGCAAAGGTGAACATTTATTTATTGTATAGCTACACAAAGTCTGTTTTTTTAAATTAACTAGAATTTGAACAGCGTGCTTCGCGCGCACCAGCCTACGTTTTTATTGTCCATAATCAAATTGATAATATTAAACACGATTAATAATTATTGATTGATTATTTAATTGAAATTATGAAATATCTCCTCAATTTAAGAAATGGTACGTTTGAAAAATAATTAATACAATAAATTAAAAAAATTTTAATAATCATGAATATAGCTCTTTATAAGCATAATTGTTAAAATTTATAATTTTTGTGCGATGATCACCAAGATAAATCATGAGGAGATCCTAAGATTTATTTTAAAACATGACTACAGAAGGCTTTTTGTGATTAAAAACATTTCTTCGTCGTTCTATACCAATGTTGTTAGAAGTTAAATCTTGTAATTTATTTATTGTGATTGCTAATTTAACTAGAAATTGTCTCTGTTTGAAATTAAAAGGAAATACGTCTTTACAATATAAAATTATATCAAAAAGATGCTTCAACTCCACTTTTTATAAGTGAACAACACCTCTGACATTTTGATAATTTTCAGGACTTTTGTCAGATATTAAATTTAATGCAGAGGCTATGTAGCTTGTCAATTTTCTGCTATCTAACAATAATCAGAGCGGAGAAAATAGCATTTTTTTAAAACTTATTAATGAAAAAATTAATTTTTTAAATAAAATATAATTTATGTACATGCAAATAATTTGAATTAAAATATAAAAATACTTTTATACGTTTATGTTCAAACACAAATAGATATTAGAATAATATGGATGAAATATTTTTAAATTAAATTATGTTAGATTAGGTTAGATTTAAATAGAAACATGCGCACTGCATGAGCCAATCAGATAGCATTTATCTTGGCTTCTCAACATCCGGTCATAACCTTTTTGTAAGAGGATTATTTAAATGTTTAAATTAAAGTCAAATATATCCAAGAATACAATATTTTTATTAGATACTCAGCACAAAGTATTAACTAACAATTATTTACAATTCATGACCGTTTATTAACGTCAGATTTTTAATAAATATAACAATTATAAAGAGTTATTTTTTGTTAAAAAACTGTCGTTGTTAAATTATAATAGTTTTTTTCATTTACTAATGGTAATTTGCATTTTTATTCACTAAAACAAACTTATTTTGAAAAATAATAGATGCAAATAACGATAAATAACTGTAAATAAACGTTATCACCAATTACCTATTCGAATAAAAATTTAGTAACTATTATTTGCAGTTAATCATAATTATTAATGTGGCAATACCGGACACGAAAAACGTACATTTTCACAAACAACATTTTTTTTTATATAAGCAAAAGAATTAAATGATAATAACAATATCTAAGTGTTTAAAATAATTCTCTATCATCATATATGATAACTAACTATTTATTACAGTTGTAAACAATTATTTAAATTTTTGAAATATATTTAAAATTGTTTATAACTGTTATTAATAGCAAATTTTTTTTATAATAAAAAGGTGCATTTCCAAAATTGTCTACAATTGTTAATAACTGTATATAATTATTACTGACAGAAAAAACTGTTAATAACTGTTATACGTATCAAAATTCTAAAGTTTATAAACTATTTTGATCTGCAAATAACTGCGTGCAACAGTTTTACTCGAAAACTATTTCCAACAGGGTTATATTCAGATATTTTTAAATTAATATCAACATTTTTTTGAGATCCTTCATAAAATTCTGGCACGAACACAATTAAAAAAATATTTTGGAATTCGTCTTTGTATCCCTGGAATCTCTGCCCCCAAGCGGTTAATTAAACCACGTTTACGAAGCAAGTTTATTTGAGCGTGTGATATTTGAGTCTTGCAATAGTTGCAGTCAGAAACAGCAATATACATCAAAACAGTTTATGACTGAAAAGAAGTATATTTCCTCATGATGGTCCACTCTAATATCAGTAGGTTGGAGCTCTCACGTTATTAAGACTTGGCTGTAGAGTGTATTAACTGTAATAAACGTGAAAGGGGTGGTGCGACGAAGCGAGCGTGAATGTAATCGCTTCAAGTGGATCTGAGGCTCAATCGAACCGATGCATGTGCATGCATTCCGCCAGGATAAATGCGCATGGTCAAATGGAGGAAAAGGGTGGGTCGGCGCTAAAGCGATGAAAGCTTTGCGTCGCCTGCAGTGGCTCATAAAACGCACGTGCTCGCTATTGCAAACTAAAAAAACTAAAATAAAGTTACCTTTCACGTCTCCTACACATGTGGCCCTCTACGGTGTTTTGTGGTGCGGTCGAGCCAAACTGACGAAATAAAAAAAGCTTCTTATGTGTACTTTACCTTACTACGAGCTACAAACTAGATTATAGCTTTACCAACAAATTTTCAGAAGCAGTATTTTCACGAAAAAAAGCAGTAGTTTTATACGAATGCATTATCACTTTTCAATCAAATAATTTATTCACATTATCATGATTCGTTGAAAAAGCATTTTGTCACTTCAAAAGTTACTTAATAGTAGTTATAAAATTATTCTAATAATGTACAGGCTTTACACAGATAATTTTTTTAAAATTAAATGATATACAGCTAATATATAGAAAGTATTAATAAAATGTTTTTTTTAATTATGCTTTATTAACTTCACACAAAGTTATTTAGCTACAAAAAAGATACGTACATACTATAATTGGTTAAGTATAATATATTGTACTGTACACTTTATTTTATATTTATTCTTAATATTAAATACGCAGATCATATTTATCAAGATATTTATGTATCTGCTGCATAATTAAGATGTTAGGTGAAGTCAAATAAAATTTAATATCAAATGGAGGGAGCTGTTTATATTTCGAGAGCATTTTTAACAATGCATTCCTTTGGTCATTATATTTCGGACATCGCCATACAATATGATTTATATCTTGAGATTCAGCCTCATAATCGCAATTTGTTTTCTGTACAACT